AAATGATGTCACCATCGTCAAGTTTGGCTGAAAATTGGAAGTTCTGCCACGCAGGTTGCTACTAAAAATGGACAAAATCGGTCGAACGACACGGTTACAGTGCTACGTAAACTAAAAACACCTCTCTTTTCCAAAGGAATAAAAAATTGGTTCTTTGGTCTTCATTTAGCTAAAATAAGCTAACAACCGAATTCAGTTGACTTTTAGAAATACATCTCATGCTAAGTATTACTAATAACTATTAAAAAGTATTTAATGAAAAAACGAAAAAAATAAAATGAAAAAATGTACGTATAAAGAGAGACAGAGAACAAAAAAACAAAAGAAAAGAAAAAAGATGCACACATCTGGCACAGAGGCACACTCATGTGGATGTATATCCACTTGGGGGCTGAATACGTAAACCTTTGTGAACATGCAAAAGCTTGGCAACCGATAATATTGGACAAATTTAGTTCAATTTTTGAAACATACGAAGACATCAAGGTTGGAAGCTAATCTAGATACGAGTAAAAAGGGCGTATTTAGGCGAGTTGTTTTGATAGAATTTAAAGGATCCGATATTTATATTAAACTATAGTCGTTACGTGAGTTTTTGCAAAGGACTGTAAAAAAATAAGTTCGTAATTATATTTGTGTTGAATGAGATTTATGAAAATAGAGTTAAAAAAGTGAAGTTCCTAGAGAAATCGAGGATTCATTTACATTTTTGAAGTGAAAATAAGTTTAACAAAAGCAATCTATTTTGGTGAGGAGGCAAAGAGACAAGCGGGTCCCAATCCAAATTCCGAAAAGCAGAACTTCGTTTTGAAAGATTTCAATTGCATCTACGTAACACTTGTAGTAAGAAGTCCACTCGATAGAAACCTACTCAAATATTGGTCTTACTGAGCTCACATATAGCCTTTTTGTAACCTAAGGGTCGCCAAAATTTAGATCACTGTTTAATTGAAACAAGCATTGATCTAGCTTTATTTAAGAAAAGCCCGTTGTGTCAGTTAACACGAAGTCTATGATCGAATAAAACTCCTAAATCTATGAACGAATCTACATGGAGTCTCGACTGGGAAGCTCTGTCAATGTATACACCGGAGAGATGCACGAAATAAATTTCAGCTTTAAATCTAAAAAATTTTAAAAATCAGAAAAAATTTCGTTTTTTCCTTCTCTTTGCTATATTTTAGGATAACGGTCATGGATATAAAAGATTTGGCCATAATTGAATGTAATGTTCTTACTGGTTTCTCTTTTTTCAAATCATATTAAATGCATTTGCTCCAAATTTTTTAAGGGGTCTCACGCAGGCGTTATGGGGTGAAGGAGATCATTAGGTAAGGCAGGGTAAGATGGGTTGCGTTTGTCCGTGTATTCTTTTAGAGGTAAACGTTTGAGGAGTGCCCGAGAGACAAAATATATAACCCGTCGACATCTCCCGAACTAGCTTGCTCAGCCAAGGTCAGTCTACTCAGCCTCCGATCCTCACAAAGCGGCACAGGGCATAGCGTCCGCAAGAATATTAATCCCCGCTTTCGATCTTTCAAACAGTTGGACAGACACGAAATATTCACAGACACCTCGCATGCTACACAAAAGTGGCATACACTAGCCCTCCCTGAATATTGTGGAAATTAATATATATTTCCTTTGTGATATTATTTTCGAAATAATGATCTTCGAAAATTTGCGATTCGGACAAACGAACTTACATCATTATTGTTTTATTATTTTTTTAAGAGTTTTTAAAATGCCTAGTATACTGAGAAATCTCAAACTTGCATAAACTTTTGATGAGCTGTGCTTGTCCGGTAAACCGAAACTGTCTTCAAAATTTTTTCTGCATCGCCTCACGAATTATAGGTTCATAGGTTCGCTAAAAATGAATAAGAAACTAATATGTTTTTTCCTTACATTATCGCCTCCGTCTAGGCATTTCGATTTCCCCCTAAAGGTTTAGATCCGGGCTTTGCTTTTTCTTAATAAAGTTATTTCGGTAAGTTCGGAAATGAATCCCGCAATAATGATGCCGCAAAATGAACGCAAAAATTGTTCGTAAGAATAAGTCATAATCTCTATGTAAATGCAAATATCCACGAAGTGCCTCAAGTTATTCAAAACAATTATTTCATATGTATATACTAAAAATGGGTACGAAAACGTACATTCAACGAAAAAATAATTATTTTACAATAATATGTAGAATCGTAACACATTACATCGAAATACAAAAATGTTATGTTAGCCTTGTAAATAAGAAAGTAGGAAAATTATTTATGGTAGTTGTATATAGAAGCAAGCGTAAAATTATATACGGCGAATTGTATCTTGAAATTCTTTATTGATTACAGTGGGTGTGCTTATTGGCAGACTATGTTTGCTCTCAGATCCTGAGGTCTGCATCAAGCATAAGCAATGATTTTTTATTAAAATTCTTTAAGCTTGAATTCCTATAACATGGTCAATGCACTCATATTAAGGAATGCATCATGAGGTTATTAAGGCGTCTTTCGACTCATTACAAAAGGAAGTATTTACAACTAACAAGTGCATATGGTAAAATTGTTTTAGCCAAACCTGAACCTTTTAAAAATGTTTCTGCAATGGATTCAGTCACATTATCCTCCAATCCAACATAGCTCTTTAAACGGAGAAAACTTTCAATAAATTGTGATATTTTTATTTACATAACTTATTTTGTCTACGAATAAATGACCTACCTATATATTGCATTATAGCATAAATGTAAAAAATGAGAGCATTTTTGACGATTTCAGATATGTATGTCTTTCCACTATAAAATATCAGGATTTAAAGAAATAAGTTAGCTAAATTCAGTATATAAATTGCGACTATAATTTTGACCATGGGTAGCACTAATTCGTTATGATAACTATCGTTATATCTTTTCTAATTTGATTTAAAATTTGAAGCGATTTAAAAAGGGCGTACTTTTCATAATTCCTTTTGAATGGAGGGAAAGTTAATAAAATAACATTTGGAAAGGTTATTAAACACTCATTTAATTATTTAAAAAATGCAAATCCACATATAAAAACAACGCTTTTGGTCTACGTATTTTTAACTGCGGCAATACGGAGGAGATTTAAAAGAAGTGAATTGCAATTCAAATTTTTTGTACAAACTCGTGCATTTATTGAAGTATTTAAAAAGGTTAAAAAAAACAATTGTCAAAGCATGTTGTTGGATTTAAACATGCTTTGGGACTATTTGTTTGAAAAAGTTCTAGTTTGAACAAAAGACGAAGCAATCTTTTATTAATAAGAAGTATTTAAATTATTTATCGAAAAACGCTTAGTTACCACGATGGGGAATGTTATTGTAAATATATAGTAAGAAATTCGAATGAACAGCATGAAAATTGTAAAAACGTTTTTGGTGGCCTGTTTTGGAAGTTCTCGTTTCGCGGTAAAGGCTTTTAATGATTTGAAATATTTTATAGACGTGTTTGTTTTGTCTGCAATCTCAGGACAACAAAATACTCTTTAACTATTAAAAGCGTTTGGCAAAGTCTTTTTGGAGTGCTTGAAGTAAAGTTCGAAATTTAAAAAAAAAATTCAACGCACATATACGCACGCGCACACATTGAATAGAATAAACTTCATTTCCATATCTAAAAGATTCTTACAAAGTACATATATGCGCATTGAATTTTATAGATTCATGCAATTGTTTATTTATAGCTTTAACTCTTTAAATAATTTCACAGTTAATGATTAAATCATGATTACAAATGCAGATGTAGGAAAAGTAGCAACAGAGAACGTGTAAATTTTACAATAACAATCAAATATAGGCGTCACACTTTGCTAGTCAAAAAGGCAAAAGAAATCATACTAAATACTTGATAAGAACGCTGATCCACACACTAACGACATGTCAATTATTTAATTAACATACACTTACACCACAGCGAAAACAACAACAAGTAACACAATTACAGTAATAACAATTGAAAATTATAGGGAGTAACAAGACAGAGCGGAGCAAAAGACAACAACATAAGGTGATAAACAAGCCCCCAAAAACAATAAATTCCACAAATACAATCGCAATCACAACGTGCTACTAACGAGAGACCAAAAAAAAGAGTTAAATATATGAAAACTAAACGCTACCTGAAAGCTTAAACAAGCCGAAAACGTAGAAAAAAGGCGAGAAGAAAATATATAAACAGAGAGTAAAATGGATAAAGGAATTACTTTTAAAGGCAAGGTTTGAGAGCAGTTCGAACATAAACTAGCTTAGCAAAAGAGAAACAACATCTTACTATATTCATTCATACCGAAGCTCGAAACCAACTTTCAAACACTTACTTCAATGACTAACTGCAGCTGTTGAGACTAAAGGCTCATCTCTGCATTAAGGAAAACAAAACCATCAAAAGCATAACAAAAATAAAAATTTTTACTCAGCCTGAAAATCGCTCAACCGCTATTATCTGTTAATAAAAATGTATTAAGAGGTTGGTTAAGAATGACTTGATTTGCGATCGAACACTTCGCACACTTCGCGCGATCGATCGTGCGATCGGTCGGTTATAAAAGTCGCAAGGACAAAACAGCGATACATTAGTTGAAATCTATTAACGCAACGTACGAAGTCGTCATTTGTGCGTTTTGACAACAGCTCGCTAAAAAACAAAACACCCAAAAACTTTAAATTATTAAGATTAAAAGAAATAAATCATTTTTATAAAAAATGATTAAACTGAAGAATTATTAAGTAAAGGATCGCTCTTTCATTGATTTATGAAGATTAGTGTTAATAATAAATATACCAACATTTTATTGGTCACCAAGAAAAAAAGGAAATATTTTAATGAAAAACCTAAAAAATATCCTTAAAATTATAAAAAAACTGTTTCCGTTACAATCCATCATCAATACGAAAATTAGTACAAAGATTGAAGTTGCTCTTAAAATAAAAGCAAACACTTCACATTTTCTTTTTAAATTTTATAAATTGTAAAAAACAATAACAAAATGATCGCCGATTCATATTTTATAAAACTGTTCGTGCGTCTATTCCAAGCCAACGACTTGCAGCATCTGCTGTTGGTCTTCGTTAGCATTTTAAGTGTAATCAGTTTCATACAGTGGCTGATTAATTTATATCGCGAAGTGCGCAAATTGCCACCGGGTCCTTGGGGTTTTCCCGTCATCGGCTATTTATTGTTCATGGGCAATGAGAAACATACGCGTTTCATGGAACTAGCTACAAAATATGGTTCACTCTTCTCGACACGTTTGGGTAGCCAATTAACCGTAGTAATGAGTGATTACAAAATGATACGTGAATGCTTTCGACGTGAAGAGTTTACTGGACGGCCCGACACGCCATTTATGCAGACATTAAATGGTTTTGGTAAGTAACTAAAAATGTACTTCCTTTTTTTATAATCAAATTTCAGTAGTGAATGTAAAAACTTGTGTGAAGGAGAATTTAAAACATAATTTTTTTCAAGTTTTATGTAATGACCTGAAAGGAACAAAATATATATATTTTCATTATAAGCTGCTGCTGACAAAGTGAATTGAAAGAAGTGTAACCGAAAGCCGTTCTCTCTTTTTAATTGATCTTATGTAGCAATCTGATACCTATACTTTTATTTGGAGTCTTAAATTTTTGAGCTTTGAAAATGCGCTCGTTATGGATAGCGACGCCAGACAGATAAAACCCTTAAATTATAGTAAGATCCCTAAAAATCAGACTCCACATTTTTTTAGTAATAATCTACAATGATCTCATAAACAATGGTCGGCTTATTATTAAAAAAGAAATTGGATTTCAGATTCTCATTATATAAATATGACGAAATATGAACTTCTTCTATTAGAATGAACTAAGTGTGAAAAGGCACTTTTGAAAAACTCACCTTAAGAATTATAAAATTTTTTTTCAATTTTAAAATCGATATCTGGAAAGAGGGGTGTAATGCTACCTTAATTTATAACGAAACAAGTAAATTTTTTGTCAGATAAATCTTATAAGTTCGCTTTTAGGAATCCTTGCGTAAGAAACACTACCTGAATATCTCTAAAATCATTCATTTGAATATTCCATGAGTTGTTTAAAATTTCATTACTGTGTGCAATATGGTTATATTAATTATTGCCTTAAATATTAATTATAAACGGAACGTTGTAAAAGTATTAGCAGCAATGAAATATATGAAAAAACAGATAGGACGACCCAAAAATTATAACTTCTCCTTCCATACATTTTTAAGAATTTAAATATAATCTTGTTCAATATTTATCAGACACGTATTAAAAGAAAAAAAATACCCATAAACATCACACAAAATATCAAAAGGAAATATTTTATTTGCTATAAAATATTTTCGCTCTTTGATAAAAATTGAAGTCTGTCTGAATAATCTGGTTTACTACAAAACTGACATCCAGTAGCAAATCGCTCCTAAAAGTATAAGTTATTCTGCAAGAGATTTGGATACTAATGTAACACCAATTAAGATCAAATCAATAATTTATATATTATACATCTAACAATTCATTTTGTGATTGATTCTCGTCGTCCTTTGCCAGTTGTAGGTAGATGCAATTTAAACAAAGTTTTACGGTGAAAAGAAACTTTTTTTGTCGGTTTATTTAAAGTCTGTTTTCTTTATCTAAGAAAGGCAGTGAATGTTTAAATAAAAAATAAATGAATTGAAGTGACTTTGAATTACATATATGTTTACTAAGGTCACTTAGAATGTTATTTATTTAGTTACAAAATATCGCAGCGGTATTTTTCTTGTTCTTCAATGTTCGATACAAGACGCTTAAATACAGTGTTGAAAGAAAGTACTTCCAAAGCAACAAAATTTCCAATTTTTTTTCGCAATAATCCGCACATTACAAATATAATTGAGGTAGGTTTTGTCATTTAACAGTATATGAAACGACAAAGAGAAAGAGAAACACACACACACACAACAATACCTCCGGCAACAACAGCCAACAATACGGTTGAAGAACACTATCAGCACAACTCTTTATATATTTCTTATTTATTTATTTATTTATTTTTTTTTAACTTTTTTATTCGTACTCTGAAATATTCTCATAAAAAAGAAACGAAAGCACAATATAATGAAAAGAAATGTGTATGAAATACATTAACCAAAAATATGGCATATGAAATTTTACAATGTTTTTTTTTTTTCTTTTTGTTTAAATTATGTCTCATTATCAACCTACTTTAATAACTGCACATTTACATATTATGTGTTGGAAGCCTCAAAATTAAAAAGTACGCTAATATTCTCAATTTATTCCTGATACCCCGATTTATCTAAACGGGATGCCACAAACTATGCACGCCCGTCCGTTCGTCTATTATCTCTTGTTATAAATCATATTGAACAAATTTCTCAAACTAATTTTGAACATGGACGAGATCCGTTATACAACGAATCTTCGTTAGAAAGTTGAAATATTTCTATTGATTCATGGTTGACTTAGCTTTCGATTTTTTATTGCTCAATTGTGCGGCCTTTCGTGGTGTTCCGTGGTGATTGCGATTTACCCAATCTAAGGCAAGAATGTTCTTACGTAACCGGTGTTTAATTGCGTTTGCGACCAGCTGCCTGACTAACCCCACCAGAGGAAAGTACACAGTGACATACTTGTCCGCATCTGAAATTTGGGCACTAATCTCCACCAGGCACGTTGAGTTGAGTCTGTGTGCCTTCGGGCATCGTGAGGTTAAGCCTTTGTAGCAAGATATCCACGTTATACTTGCAAAAACATCTATCCATTTATGCGCTTGCATGTCTACTTATCGTTGTCTGCCAACCGATCTTCATTTCTCCATCCATTTTTTTCATTCCGTCTGCCCATCCGTTCCAGTTGTCTGTTTGTCAGTCTATTTATCGGTAAATCCCTTCATGTGTCCATCTGACTGTTAACTTTCTTGTCTTTGTCTATGTATTTGTCGTTCATCCAACGGTTCACGGCAACAAAGGTATCGATCTCTCCGTCGGTTTGCTATCTTCTATCTCTTCGCGTACTTTTCCTTGCTACATTCTCCTTTATTCGTGAGTGGCTGCCTCATCTATCTCCCTGCCACCCAGCCACATAGTGTCTGTCTCCTTTATATATGAAGAGAAATTCGTTTAGAAGTTTAAACCTAGATTTTATAGCTTTGGATTGTCGTTTAAAATCGCTATTAATTTGACATTGAATGTAGGTATGAAATATAACACGGAGGCGTTTCATTTTCAGAAATTGTTAGAAAATGTATTTATGAAGGCAAAAGATTTTTTTATTTTAAATATGCATATATAGTAAAACAATAAGAAAAAAGAATATAAACAAACTCCAGCTGTGTCAAAATAGAAATCATGCTGCCTTGCAATATTTTGCCTTAAAGAATCTAAACAAAAAATGGTTTTCTGCAAGTCGTCATATAAACGAAAATGTTATAATTTGGCAAAGCCAACCATTAAGTACCCTCCACTACATTGCTACAGTTCTTTGTTTATTCTCGTTTAAAATAGCAAAAATTACCCCTTGTTTCGATGCAGATACATACTTTTATTTCATTTATTTAATCTTTATATCAAATTACTATTATTAACCAATGTTGCACCAGGAAATATTAAAAATCGAACTTTTATACTTTATGCAGGCTTACCTTATATGAAAAGATTTATATGGGAAGGGGAACTAAAAATTCAATCGCCCGTCCTATCCAAATTTTTCATATCAGCTAAGTACGCCAAAGAACTAATGTAATAACTAACAATTTCTGTCGAGAAATTTAGGAAGTTACACCTTTTTTATTTATTATGACTTTTTTAAAATTAGGCGTTATGTACATAGGGACCACAACATTGGTCCAATGTAATTGAGTTTGAATAGTACATTTAAGTGCAATCTACGTAGCATACAAAATTTCGTCGATAGACGGGCAGACAAATTTAAATTGATTTGGAAACTAATCCTAAGCGGATCGATGTAATGAAAGGTGGATTAGTCTAAAATTTTTCTTTTTCAAGCATTAAAGTTTCGAATCGCTCAGCATTGGTTTAGCTTAGTGTTAGCTTAGTATTTGCTAGGAATTGTGGGTTACATTTTCTTTTTTATTGTGCCCTTCGTTGTAGCCGAACTATTTACTACTTTAAAAATTGATCAGTGCACGCTAAACTAAAAATACATATGATAAGGTTCAGCTTTCTATTTCACTTTTTTTAATTGTGGGTATTATAACTGCGGGTGCAAATCAGATACCAACAAACAGATGACAATAAACAGACACAAAATCTTACGCTGACCAAAAATACGTTTTGTAATTCATCTGAAGCGTGCCACAAGTTCCTTGTATATCTATCAGCCGTTTATACGGACACAGTAGTGTGATAAGAAATACGCGATGTAAAGTTATTAGACAGAAACTCGGGCGAAATGAATATCAATAGACAGACCTCTAGTAAATATATAGATATTCCAATACAGATAATCTCGTGATTTATGGGCATCTTTGTATCGTACACGTGTACCTGAACTCTTCGTTAATGCCGTTTGATCCTAAATTGAAAATTCGGATTTCTATATATTTGCAATCAATCGCTTTATAAAATACGGTTTTGCATTGAGCACTTAAACACATTGGTTTACTTATTCATTTATAATTAATATAATTTTAATTTTTTTTTATTTTGCTTATTTATTTCTAGGTATTATCAATAGCACAGGAAAGTTATGGAAAGATCAGCGTCGTTTTCTTCATGACAAATTAAGGCAATTCGGCATGACCTATATGGGTAACGGCAAACATAATATGGAAAAGCGGATAATGGTACGTGCTACGCGGAATTTGGAAGTAAATAGTAGTAGACTTTGAGTCCTCACCAAATACTGTAGATACTCTTAAGTCTTAATTAGCAAGCCTTTTTAACGACTTATCCTAGAACAGCTATTGAAATTATTTTTTAAATGGCATTCATAAGCATTTATACCAAATACGAATCTTTCGCGGCTTGTTCAAAAATATATGTTTTGTTTTTTATGCTTTAAGTTGTTGTCGTGGCCCTATTTGCCTATAGAGAATAAGAATGTTTCAGAAGATTATTTTATATTAATTTATTATTTCTAATCCTGTTTTTGCCTTTTACATGTTAGGCCGAAGTTGAAGACTACATTAATTACTTAAGAATAGCCGACGGTCAACCAATGGATATGGCACCAGCTATATCGGTAGCAGTCAGTAATGTTATTTGTAGTATTATGATGTCGGTGCGTTTCTCCATAAATGATCCTAAATTTCGTCGTTTCAATTATCTAATTGAGGAGGGTATGCGTCTCTTCGGTGAGATTCATACCGTTGATTATATACCGACCGTGCAATATCTACCCAGTATATTGACGGCAAAAAATAAAATTATTAAAAATCGTAAAGAAATGCAAAAATTCTATCAAGATGTTATCGATGAGCATAAAAAAACATTTGACTTAACAAATATACGGGATTTAATTGATTTCTACTTGGCTGAAATTGAAAAAGCAAAGACCGAAGGCAGAGACGACGAGTTGTTTGATGGTAAAAATCAAGGTAAATTATTTTTAAGATTTTCTTAAGGAATTTTCTATTTTTACTTGTAATTACTTATTGTTTTTCCTTCATGTCTTGTAACCAATCTTTTCAAAATAATAATGAATAATTTATTATAGAAAGAAAAAAAAAACAGATTTATTTTCTAACATTTCTATCTTAACTTCTGTTTTTCTTTTTATAGAAGAACAAATTGTTCAGGTTATAATTGATTTATTTTCGGCCGGTATGGAAACCATCAAGACAACTTTATTATGGATAAATGTTTTTATGTTACGCAATCCGGCATCGATGAGAAGAGTACAAGATGAATTAGATCAAGTGGTAGGACGTCATCGTCTACCGTCTATTGAAGATTTACCATTTTTACCTATTACCGAGTCCACTATATTAGAATCAATGAGAAGATCTAGTATAGTACCTTTAGCAACTACGCACTCACCAACAAGGTTAGTAGATAATCTTGGATATTTTAAAAATTTTTTACATATAAAATCTTTATGGCGGCAGATTTTAATTTATTATTAATGCTAGTGTTCATGTGAGCCTGAAATAAATTAGTCAGTAAAATACGATTTGTTAAATTTTAAATACTTTTTAAAAACGAAGCACGTATCGCTTGGAAGCAGTCAAATATTCTAAATATTTGAATGATCAAAATTTCATTGTTTAAGTCACTAATCGACAAATTCACTTACTTCGCTTACGGTATGTGCATAAATGAAGATGTGTGTGCTCCTAAGTGCATTCATGTAACAGCCGCTACTACAGCTGCTTTATTACTTACTTAATGACCATAGAGATGCGTAATAATTTGTTCCAATTTCTTTAGATGGTTAAGAGATTAATTGCCCATATGTAAGCATATCAACGAGCGAACGTTGATTCAATTTCATTTGCGTTTTTTTTTGTTTTGAAGGCAATAAATTTTTCTTTTAATCAAGTTTGTCATTGTTATTGATTTTATTGTTGTAATAATGGAAATTTTATTATCAATGTTCGTTACAGTGCCGTGCGTGGAGTGTTGAAAATTTCATTTTGCAAACTGAACACGTGAGTGTCGCTCGCGTTTTTGTTATTATTGTTATCATTAAAAATTGCAAAAGCAAAAAACAACGAAAATACATCATTGGTTTTTCGTTTTTGCTTCTTCTGTTTTCCTATTAGTTTGCTAAGCTACGGTAGAATTTGCAATTGCCTTGTGCTATGTTGTTTTGTGCATGTAAGCTTTCGAAGACCTAGAAATAGCGTTGAAACCGGCCGGCATCACATGGACTGTGAACGAAAGGCAAAAGAAAAACTAATTTGGTTTTTTTTATTTACATTTTATATTTAATAGTTTTTTTTTTTTGTTTTTTTCAAACACACTCGCACACACATTATAATTAATGATTGAAAGAGGTTTAATGAACTGAGAAAAACCGTGAAAGTATGTCAATATGAGGTTGATGCGTCTCTAATTGGGATATACTATTATCTGTATAGGCTATAATTGGGATGCAATTTGGTTTGTGTCGCTTTAGAATCGTAATTTCTTAATCTGTTTGATACGCTGTCAACTGTTCTCGATGGATATGAATGAATATCTTGTTTTGGATCTATCGAATTATAAAATTGTGGTAAATATTGATAAGTTCAGCATATATTTTATAAAACTTAATGACGCAGTTATAAAAAATCGGTTAATAAAATCATTAAAAAATAAACAATAAATACCGCGTCCAGACATATGTCAATACTTCAAGGCGATTGATTGGTCTTCGTGGAAACTTGATTCATTCGTTGTCATTTCCAAAAGCTGTTACTAGTATTTGTCAAAGTTCGCTAAAGTTTTCATTTAAGTCGCTGCTATTCGTAAACTCTATGGCGAAAAAGTAATTATGACTTAGATGTCGACGATTACGAAAGATATGTTCGTCACAATTGCTGTATATAGGAGACACAACTTTGATATCAATGAATGTTTTCTTAAAAAATCGGCAAATATGTAAGCGTTCACATAGTATACGGTGCAATTAGTAGATTGGGTTTTCGTTCTAGAACTATTGTATACATGAGTTAGGGGAAGCGATAAAAAAAGTTTGTTTTCCAAATCTTTAAAATCAAGCCTTATAAGAAGTTTTGTTATAACACACCAATCAATAAGTTCGTAGGATGACTTTATGATGTATAATGGCTATTGATGAATCTATATAATTTCTTGATAGTACCAATTTTCAAACAAAATATTTTAAAATTTCATGGATTTCCGACCACGAAATTCAAATTTTTTAATTGTTTTACAAAAACCAATGTAGCACAAGAATTGTTCGATAATGGCGACATCTATATGTCATCCTAAGCTCTCATTGAATGATGTGCTATCTTTCGCAGTATTCCGCAAAATGAACAACGGTAAATTGACTCTTTCTTTCGTTTTTTTTTATCGACACTAACCCCATTTCAAATTGTAGGAAAGATGTGGTACATGTCGTTCTATCTTAAATTCGTATGCAACCCATACATTATTTTACGAATATATATTATTATTTTTGTTTTCTTTATCCATTACAGAGATGTTGAGGTAAACGGTTATAAAATACCGGCTGGTTCGCATGTTATACCGCTCATTAACAGTGTGCATATGGATCCAAATTTATGGGCTACACCGGAAGAATTCAATCCAAAACGTTTCCTCGATGCTGAAGGCAAAGTCCGCAAACCTGAATATTTTATACCTTTCGGCGTGGGCAGACGCATGTGCTTGGGTGATGTCTTAGCGCGTATGGAACTATTCTTATTCTTCTCTTCATTTATGCATTCGTTTCACATAACATTGCCCGACGGTCAACCATTACCTAGTTTGAAAGGTAATGTCGGAGCTACCATAACCCCAGAATCGTTTAAGGTATGCTTAACCCCAAGACCATTGATAGTAAACATTGTGGAAACGCATCATATGCGTAATGTAGGTTCAAATTAAAGGAAAGTAAGCCAGAAAGAGAAACGAAGAGAGATCGAGAGAGAGATAAAGGGAACGATTTATTATCCATAAATTTTCAAAGTAAATTATTAAACTTTGAACGATAATAATTGGAAACAATTTAGGAAAAAACAACAAAAAATAAAATAAAGGTAAGCCTTGAGCACGGTTCCGTTCCTAAATGACGTTTAAACATTATCTTGCTAACGTCATAAACAGTATAATAAAAAAACAAAAACGAAAAGAGAAGAAACTTGAAAAAAACAAATGTTACTCGAATAAAGAAAAAAAATTGTAAAAACGTTGTTAAAAACAAAATTTTGCATAAAAATTTTTCTTAAACAGGATCATTAAAAAAATCAGTAAAATTTGTATTTATTAAATAAAATTAGTGAAGCAAACGAAAAATGTAAAAAAGCAACAAACAAGTATTCAACAACTAACGTAGGGCTTAACTAAATTTCTGTTCATTGAATTTCAAGCGCAAAAACTTTAAAAGGGTTCCTTTAAAGTAACGAATTTAAAAATTTAAGATATTGGAAAAAATTAATAAAAACTTTTAAAAACAAGATGAAAATGAAAATGGATAATTAGACATTAAAAAGGCGGCAAATAGTTTTATACCAGAAACCACGAATGAAAGAATTTTCTAAACGCATTTTACATACATCGCTTCGTTTGACAAACACTTTGTTTGAGCGAACTATTTCAGTGAGATATAAATAACAGCAAAAAAACACAAAATAACACTGCCTTTGCGGTGAGCCGTTGCGTAACTTACTATTAGAAAAGTTCCGAACCTTAGATTAGCGATCATGCGTTGAAAAGCCGAAGTGTCGAACTTACGTCTCGAGACCTTTAGCTATTGACCAACGTAAATACGTAAACGATCAGCGTAAGTGCAACACAGGATATGGGCTTCGTTTAATTTATAGCTAATAATTACAATCGCATCTCTAGCCTGTCAAATACAAGCTGCTTTCTTCAAAGCTTTCTTCCCAAAAATATTTAGTTATCCGTTTACTTAAATCTGTACATTTCTTTCCACAAACTCGAAATAATTTCATTCAAGTTTATATCCTTTTTAAAATCATTTGTTAGCTTCTAAATATGATCTCATATGCTACTACGATATACTCCGCGTTTTAATGATTTAATTGCAAAAATCGCTTTTATGAAGAATGTAAGAATGCCACCTTTTTTCAACAGAGACTAACTTTTTTTGCTAAGTAATTATTCAAGACACGTCACTTTTTACACTGCAGGATAGATTTCATTACAGTTAACAGTGATTTGTGTTATAAAACTTTTGAAACTTGATTATTTATGTATTTTCATTAAGGTTTTATGAAATTTTTAAAAATATTTCTAAAGAAGTAATCGTATTTGTTTCTTGCTTTCGTACAAAATAATAAAATTAATGCATAGAAATATATAATGTTATTATAACAGTAACAAGCACACCACAATAACAACAAATTCTATTCTTTGATCCTCCAAGAAGCTGTGTTCATTAACGTATATTTTAATAAATAATAATAATTATAATAAAAAAAATCGATTCAAATAAAAATATCTGTGGTTTAGTTAATATACTAATAAGAAATATTTTAAAAGTAAAAAAATATAAATACAAAAAGTTTATATAAGTATATACATAAAGAAATAGCATAAGAATGCGAGCATATCAAATATACACACACACAGAGACACACGCGATCGTATACTCATCTGCACGGGTTATATGAAAGAAGGAAATGCGCGCTGTCCCTGTGAATGGTAAATATGAGGCATGGGAATTTTGAATCCCTTAAAGTGCCCACTTGCCTCTTCCGCCATTACTAAGCGAAATTTTCTTCACCAATTTAATGATAGTTCTTCAACTTCACTTCACACTGTATTTCTTTTAGATATTGTTTACAAACTGTTTAAGATTAAAATAATTGTTTTAATGTTTTCGTCGCAAATTTCATTTACCTTGCTAAGTTGAACTTGCAGGACTGTCCTAGTTCATTCAGAAACTTCATGAAATTTCATATTATTATTTTTTTCTTCTTCGTCTTCTTTACAATTACAAGTTTTGTGTTTATTGTCATAACATGCATGTAACCAAAAAATGAAAATATGAATTTAAATTCACGTACGAAAAAGAAGCCCATTAAAATTAGGAAAATTCTATAAGTTTTTTCGCTAGTTTATGTTGTCTATTCTATAACTTCTGGGAATCCTAAAGAAAGAAGAGTGTATAGTTTATTTACAGTTACTGTTAGAATCAAGATATTTTATTAAGATTGAAACCATAAAAAAACATTATAAATCCAAAGTGCCAAACATCCAAAAAAAAAAAAAAAAAAAAAGAGATAAAAGAAACTAAGTAATTACACTTACACTTTTGTATAAAAGTTTACAATTCATATAACTCATATAATAATTCATCTCTTGAATATATATGTATTACTGTAGGTAAAAGTAAAATTAAGTTATGTTTCGTTGTTTGTTAAATAGTAATTAATTTGCTTAGAAAGTTAAGAAATTGAATATAGACACAAGTATACACACACAAGTATACATATAAATATAAAGCAAAAAATATAGAAAAAAAAGGCATACGCAAATTTGAATGAAAAATGTTTATAAAAACAGAAAATGTTTTTTGAAATTTTAAAGTTATTATTAAATTTTATTCATTTTCACCTTATACGTTGGAGGTGTTAAAGTAAAACCACATATCCCCTGCATATCTAAATTTTGGTCGGTGTCTTCATTTAACTGGATTTTGAAATTTCTTAATATAACACCAGTATACAGCAACAACAGCATGCGAGCTAATTCCTCACCTAAACACATTCGCTTACCAGTTTGAAATGGTATAAAATATTGGGGTTGCTTGTAACGGCCCTCAGCGTTTAGAAAACGCTCTGGTTTGTATTGTTCCGGATAAGGCCAACGATCAGCATCCATATGAATTGCCCACTGTAGAGGTAAAATCATGCTATTCTTTGGAATTCTATAACCTTTTATATAAGCATTTTTGGCCGCTCCATGCGGTATGCCCAAAGGTACAACCGAGCGAATGCGTAACACCTCAGCTATGCAAGCTTTTAAGTAATCAATGTCCTCCAAGTCATTAAGTGTCATGTGGCTTTTATCCAATTTCATTAGTTGCTGAAACAGAGTAATCGTCAAAATATAGGAATGAGAATTACTTTGCGATTCATCTTTGATTTTGTTTTTTGTTTTTATTGACTTCATCATATCTTCAATGTGCTAGAATGCTATGACGAGAAAAGGAAGGGGGGAGAATGGGAAATGTGAGTGGCTCCTCTTTTGGCCTAACGGTTTATTTTTCAATATTGTTGTATAGTCAAATTATTAGTACCTGCATTGCGTTTTTTTGCAAAACAATATTTTCGACATTAGCTAAATTATTGGGTGGCCGTAAAAGATATTTCCATCAACTCCTTTGACTTCAATCTTAAGCACTTTTTGATAGAAAAAAAAAACAGACTTTCAGGTTTAAAGGTAAAGCAAATTTACACCTCAATTTTGTGACGAAAATTAACTAAGTACTAAACTAAAACACAAAGCGCGAATCTTCTTTGGTCGTCACAAGTTCTAGAGTTAATAAAATACAAGTAGAGAAGAGCTAAAGGAAAACTTAGCGGAAAGGTCTCAAAATCGCGATATGATCGAGAATATATACCTCCCTCTAGTTTTTGTTAGTGTTTTCGATCAATAGTCTTTATTAGTATCAGATCTATTTTGACGATGTTTCAAAATAGTCTTATAATTTGCAACTCTTGGGAGCGGTCAAAAAGATTTGCGAACTTCTTCTGTTTAATGATCGACGTCTTTTCTTAAAATTGTATTGTGGACTTATGTAAATGTTTAATAATATAAGGGAGGAGGTAACAAAAGCGTTAAAATAGCGCTATAGTACAGTTATTCATTTGCATTGCGATATTTTTCAAATCAGCAACTACCTTGTTCAACTTTATTCCACTGAAGCAAACACAGTTTTATTGAAGACAAGACTTTTTATGTATACGTTTGAAACATAAAAAGGCCTAAGGTCGTACCTAATTCTTGCATACCTTTCTCAGTTTATTTTGTATATCCTGTTCTTTCGCCATATAGAGAAAAAACCATCTTAAAGCCGTTAGACTGGTGTCGACGCCCGCGCCAAACAAATCGGCTAATAAATGACGCAGTTGCTGCGGTACATACAATTCGGCGGCTCTTTCTCTATCTTCGAGATTTTCGGATTCCAGTAAACTTTGTCTTTTCTCCAGAAAACATTCTAGAATGCAAGTATTTTGTCCACTCTCTCTAGTTCTCAAATCATTCTTAGAAGCCTTAAGTTTTTTTAATTTATGTTCACATTTTTCAATAATGTTATCATAGATTTTATGCGTTTCATCTTTGCCATTAAGTAAAAATTTTAGGTTTTTTTGATTAGACGGGAGAAATCTGAAGTTTTTAAAAATAAAATTAATCCCAAAAAAGCAAGAAAATTATATTCAGTCGTAACCGAAACTTTTATACCCGCCACGGTGATCCTAAAAAAAAGGAAAAAGGAAAATTTTTAAACCAGATAATATTGGGTGGGCGCGGCTCATTTTTCCTATTTTCAGAATAACAGTGGAAATTGACATATGTGTACGTGTTGTACTTTATGAGTGACAACCAAAGAGTACAGAAATTAAAATTATTCCCAGTTTTTGTCGCATAGAAATATGGGCATTGTAGGAGTTTCATTTAACCGGTGTGGGTCATTTTCAAATTCTTTTGCAAATTTGTAGGCGATATCTTCATTTTTGCGAATGGGAGAATGTTTACCACAGATACTACACGATTGGCAGATGGACAGATGGCTAGGTGAATAGACGGACGTGCGTAGGTGCATTTAGAACTTGAGACTGGTTAAGAATATATATACTTTGAAAGGTATGTAAAGCTTCCTTGTGATGGGTATAAAAATAGGCTAGTAGAACAAAAACGGTAGCACTGGAACGTACTATACTTAAATAACCTTAGCTTACCTCAAAAATGGTAAAAAATTCGCTGCACCTGAGATACCAATCAATCGAACGCCTTCTTCTTGTAAGTGTTGCAAATATTGCCAAGTAACATCATCGCGTGCATATGTTAGACCAAATACTAAATCATTTATAATATTGCCGACGGTATGCTCTAAGGCGGGTGAAGGATTTACTTCTGACAGCTGCATGGAATCCTCGCTAAGCCACTGCAGAAACAAAAAAAATTAAGCAAGAAAATTATATTCGGCACGATTGAATCTTTTATACCCATTCCCATTATCCTGTCTATATCTACTTTCCAAGTTCTTTCATTTGATACGCGGATCGTCAGGATTGTCGAGAAAAAGTTATTCCATCATAGGCTGCTACATTTAATTTAGAGTTCACACACTTCGTTTTTCGCATTCTACTCTCGAGGTCTTTTTATTTAATACCCAATTGATTATACTGCTTTCTGTTTTTATTCATTTTTTTACATAAATAATAGCGTGCTTTAAAACGCAAATACAGAAAGTTTCAGCCTTCTATCTTTCATAATTTATAAGTAATAAGCAACAAAACACAAATTTTTGTTAGGGAAACAGATATCCATCCAGTTTACGCTTTACTGTGTGCGCGTGTTTCGACGAATTTGTGACATTTTCAGTATCAACCTGTGTACAAGACTTCCAATGTTTTTGCCAAACTTGAAGCCGATAGCTTTTTTTTTGCGGCAAGGAGAATGTTTACAACAGACAGATGCACCGACGGACACCTTTAAATCGATTTAGAATTTGATGCTAATTAAGAATATACATTTTATAAGGTCTCTGAAGGTACCTTCCGGGCGTTGCAAACATTTTATCAAAATCTATATACCCCTCACTCTTCGGTGATTGGTATAAAGAAACAAAGATAGAAGCAAATAAACGACAATGTGAATAAGAAGTAAATCAAGCAATTTGTTGATTTGTTGGTATATGATCGAATCACAAATAAATTAACAATTTTCATGAATAACTTGCTGCCTCCTTGCTTGCTAATGATTTGAAGCTTATCGCCAATGTTTAAAGGTGTTATTTAAATATTTTGTGTTGTCTACACACTACTTGTCATAAGCTTAGTTCCTGTGAAGAGAGATCTTACCTGCACGCATTCTTCGATACCTTTACGTATACGTGATTCAAGCTTATAACGAATTTCGTTAAATTTCTTAGACATTCCTAAATTTTTCAACCATTCAATAGAATGACGCCTTTGATCTTTCCAAAGTGTACCCTCAGCACCAATTAAACCTTTGCAAAGTTATAAATTCACATAAAGTTTATAAGTTATTATTTAACAAAGCGATAAAAACACTTACCGTAGCCACCCATTATGCCATGCGTTACGTAAAGAGGAGCACGAGCTGTAAATTCTTCACGTCTTAGGACATCTCTTACAAGGCTAGCGTCGGTCAGAACAATTGTATTAATATTACCCATTTTCAATGAATAAATTGGACCATACGTAAAGGACAAACGTTGTAAAGTTTTATAAGGAGCCTTAAAATCAATGAACGGCAAGTAGCCTACTATCGGTAGCCCCCGAGGACCGGGCGGCTCTTGAGACTTGAGCCAATAACAATGGCCTAGTAAGTAAATAACGGCTAAGCCCAGAAGAAAACCGAAAAAGTGCTAAAACAAATTAAAATATAGAGCGAGATCTTTGGTTTTAAAAAGCACCAAAATTATAGCGTCTCTTTCGAGGCTATTGTAATGTAATGGCATACAAATTCCCTAGTTATTTTTATACCCATCACCGAAGGGGGACGCTTTTAAATTATCCGACTTTGTGATCAAAATTTATGTTCATACTCGCGGTGAGTTTGCGACAAAAAAAAAACAATATGCAGTCGTAAACGTTATTTCGAATCGGCGTGTGCTTCAAAAAAGTGAAGGAAGTCGATAGTATAGTCCGGATAGTGTATTTTCAAACAAACTTTCAGCGTTTAATCAAATTAATAGTCTGAAGCCGTGTATGAAGTATATATACATGAAGAGAAAGTGACAAGATGATGTGCAATTCTTGATGATCTGTTCTTAAAGCCTAATTTATTTTGACAAGGAGCCGCTTGCACGTGTCGATAACTATTTATGACACATGTGAAAAATGTTATACCTAAGGCATAATGGTTTTATTACGACATAAAAATCCATAGAATAGTGGTAATGAAGTTCAATGTTGAAACGCATATAAACAAATTGCAACAATGTAGCAGATAACAAAAACCGTTTTCATACAAAAATTTTTAATAATTACTCACAGTGTTAAAAAAATTACATTTTACGTGTCACGATTAACTCGATACTACAAATTTTTTCACAAGCATATTAAAAACCGTGACTGGAAAGGTACACATTTTTTATAGTTATGTTTACAGAAAAAGTCCGACTTTAAACTCTTGATAAGGTCAAGGCTTCTGAATGGGAATACCTTTCAGTGTTTAAATTCATTTAAAAGTAAACCGTACTCCATGCGAAAAAATTCTTTACTTCCATTAAAGTAGTTCATATCCTTTTCTATTTATTTATTTATATAGTAATTTTCTTTTTGCTTTTTCTTTATATTTCATTCATTAATAATCGAAAAATATAATAAAATACTTACAAGCGATAACCATTCCATTGCAATAATGAAAGAAAAAAAGCGTCTTTTGTACTTGAACTAAATCGAATACTACTAAAATAATGAAAAACAATAAACAGTTCCTCTTTCTAGCGCTTCAATTTCAGTACTGAATTTCACGTTACTTGACACAATAATTTATCGGATTCGAAAACAATCAACAACAACAGGCAAAAGAACAGTAGAAATGACTTTGTATACTCGTCAACGCAGGATGGTTGGTATATTCATTTCGTCAAAACGTTTGCAACATCCAGAAGGACGTATCAACACTCCACAAAGTGTAGAAATTTTTGATCAGCATCAAAGTCTTAATTGAATTAAGCATGTCCCTCCGTCCGTCTATGTGATGCCTATTGTATACATTTTCCTGACCGCAAAAATGAAGATATCTGCTCTGAATTTTGCAATAACACTGAAAATTCTTGAACGTAGATTGTTATTGAAAATGAGCCAAATCGATCGCACGACACGCCTACCGTGTTACGTGAAGTGAGGATACCTCTATTCTTGAAAAAGGAAAAAAAAAAACTTTTTGCTTATTACTCATGAACTACACAGATAAGACCGTTGGTGTTGTAACTGCACAAAAACGGCAAAAGTTGACCACGTCTACCCAGGATTGTAGCGTATCAATATTTTTTTTTTTTTTCGTCAATACTTCTATAACGCGCAGAAGCAAACTTCAAAACCCCGCAAAAAGTATACAAAGCCTTGATTAGTCTCAAATTCGAAATGCATCTAAGTATGTCCATCTATTTGCCTATCCGTCGGCCTAACTGTATAGTAACTGTGTTAAACATGCTCCCGTTCGCAAAAATGAAGATATGGCCTACAAATTCGCAAAAGAATTTGGAAATGACTGAATGACTTTGCATTTTGGGTTTTTTGTTTCTCATAAAGTGCAACACATACACCGCATTAATTTGCAATTTTATGCTGAAAATATAAAAATTAACTCGAAAAAGCATTCAATATTATAGAGTATCAAAATTGCTCTTTTAGTCTTTTTTAGGATAACGGTGATCGGTACAAAAGGTTCGGTTAGGATCGAATATAGTTTTCTTTTTTTTTTTGTTTTTTTTTTATTTTTTGGAAACAACAAACATTTAAAGTATTACAGATGTTATCTACATGTAGATGATTGTTGCTCTAGTTGTCTCGAATAGAACGCAAGTATTAATCTTTGCATTACCAGAAAGGGATAATATATTCAAAAGATCATCAAAACAAAACCAATAAAAATAAGACAAGTGGTCGCCGAAAACCGAGAGAATTTAAAACCACAAAAGAAGACAAAAATATAAATAAAGCCCAAAAGGTATCAACAACGTGAACATCAATAGATTGCAGCAATAATAAGCAAGCAAAAATGTTATAGTGAGCAAAGATCTATCGATAAATAACCTACATCACTTCACTTAACACACTTATTTATATAATACTGATGATATAATTGTTAATGATTTTCCAAATAAGGCGTTGTATGGGAAGTGAACCATTCGTAATAGCGTTCATCCTTGGGCCAAAGCATATTAGTATACAAAATTTCATTGAAATATATCAAAAATTTCGACAAGTACGTTGAATACAAGAAAGTAAGCCGGACAGACACATTTAGACGGATTAAGAAAGCGACTCGATCGGTGTAATAAAAGGTTGGTCTATCTCAAGTCCTTTTGATTGGTGCACTCTTACTTAGGAACTTAATATGCCCTTGGACCACAACTGGTGGAGGGCATAAAAGCTGAAAAGTTAATGGAAATAAATAAGAGATAAAGAACCCTTATAAGATTTAACTTTTGGATTTAGGTAAAAATCAGACAGACAAACGAATAAGCGATCGTGACTTATATTAATGTGATCAGAAGAAACTTTATACGATCTTCAAAGCATATGTCCGACTATGGCGAGCGGTTCGATTCAAGTATTATACTACAATTTGTGTTTAATAGCCATAATAAGTAAATAAATTTATTTACCATATGTTAAAAAACAGAAATAGCCGTGAGAACATCACAACAACGACTGATGCATCAGCACAAACAATTTTTGTTATTTATTTAGCTTTTTTTAAATTATTATTATCATTTTCATTATTATTTCATATATTTTATTCGTTATTGTTAATACCGCGTAGAATGGTTAGATTTGTGCGTGGCGTTAAATCTAAAAATACCTTCTGTTTTTATATAAAATGGCAACTTGTATAAATTTGAAATTGTACACAGCAACAATTCGTTAACAAATATTTACACTACTGTTTTTATCGTTTATACGCATCTACATATGTAATAGCAGTCTACTTGTTGCGACGATTGATTATTTACGATCTGAATAATCTTTGCAGAAAACAAACGTAAAATCTTCAAATCTTTCTTTTTTTTTTGCTCATAGTTGCTAGACGACCAAACATATCTATCTAATATTACGTAAATAAGACAATACATAATAAAACAAGTAAGAAAATTAAATTCGGTCGGGACCGAATCTTTTGTAGAAAAATTTAAGTTAATGCTAAATTCTTTCACGAATTTGTAGGCGATATCTTCATTTTCGCTAACGGGAGAATGTTTACCACGGAGACTACACAGTTGAGCAGGCTTGCAGGTAGACTGACGAAAAGCCGGGCATGCTCAAGTTTCACATTTCAAATGTGAAACTGGCAACGTTATGCGGTTTTTGAAGCTTAGTTCTGTTATACAGATATTGGAAAACACATTAAATTTTGATATACTAAAGCATTGGGTAGACGTGGTAAATTTTTTCCATTCTTGTGCAAATACTTCAGCATCGACCATAGAATATGCGTTTGAGTTTTTCATTTTTAATAACAACCTGCGTGCAAACTGTTTCAATATTTCTGCAAAATTTGATGTTGATAGCGTCATTTTTGCGCCAATTCGCTTAATTCGATTTGCAATTTGATGCTGCTCAAAAATATATGTACGTTGTGTAATTTCTGATGCTTCCTTCTGGGCCTTGCAAACGTTTTGACACAATGATTGCACCCCTCATCCTTCGGTGGTGGGCATAATAAAGTCTAATCAATATCCAAAAATTGAAGGAAAGATTTAAGAGGTCCATCTACAAATCCATTTACAGGTATAGTCATATCTAAATATGACTACGTTGCATTATTTTAAAACGAAATTGCAAATGATTTCGTTTGCTGGATTTTTTGCCTGCGCGCACTTATAAAATAAGGGGAGAATGATCGAGTGGTCGGAGAGTAAGTCAACATTATAAATAAGTATTAGTTTATCAAAGTGTGTGGTATAAGCGATTTGGGAAACATATATCTCTAAGCAGCTTTTCATACCTGTGAGAAATTGCTTCGAAATATTCATAGCTATTAGGAATAATTTCTGTCTTTGAGATTCGCTTCATTTTCCCTACGGACTAAAGTGTATATTCCCATATTGCAGCGTTAATGTAGGGTATAGAAATGTACGACTGATTAGAGACGTACAATTTCGATTATAATTGTATAAAATAAGCTTTCTGTTTAACATTTAAGATAAAGAAATCCTCTACAATTAAGACCTGGTTCATAAATTGGTCTGTAATTGGCAGAAATCCAAAGTTGTAAATATTTATCTTTCAGTGATCTTTGTGTAACAATCTTTCGCTTTCTTCTAGAAAATTGTATTATTTCTATGTGTTATATTAAATTTGGCGGTATGTTTGATGGTGATTAATTATATTAACAATTGAGAACTTTATCGCATACAACTAAAGAAGAGTAATGAGAAAAAGGAATAATTATTTATTTAAAATTTTACAGTATTTTTAAGTATGTTGGTTTTTCATCGTCTGCATCCTTTATGTAGACATGCGTATGTACAGGACATTGATCTTTAACTTTGCCTTTATTTAGACATGGGTTGAGTAAACTTAAGCAGTTTCAAGAACGTTCAATGAACTCTATTTTCAGCCAAACAGAAGTCGCTGACTTGAATTCATTTTATGGCCAACACGTACATATATGCATACTTGTATGACTGAGACTGCAATTTGTACAGTGTGTGCTCAGTTCGTATGTTCAATTATCAAAGATTAGAAAAGGAAGGTTTGTTCTCTTTCTTTTCGTCCTAAAACTAGTGCGATAATCGTGTACGTATGAAATCTTCTGCTTCAATCGGCTTCAATGTATTATTGCACGGAAACATCTTAATTATACAAAGGAAGCATTTCCAGTTGACCGCAAGACGTCGTGTCTGGCTATTTAGCAAAGATGTGGAAGAAGGATCAACGGCTGTACAACAGTTTATAAGGTTAGTGACTGACTGGCGGCGAACTGGTTCGATAGTTAGCTGACTGGTTCGCTGGTTGGTTGGTTGGTTGGTTGACTGCTAGTTGGCTGCTATTTAATGATACACCGACAGGCATATGTTATTTTTTTATTCTAATATGCGTCGTTTCAATACAATGAACCCTTCTGGAAGGATCTTCGCACATTTAGCGAATTTCTTAGTTGCAATCATCAGTTAAGCCAATGAACACATAAAAATGAAATTTGCTGCTATTATCGTGAATGTGTTTCTTGTTCGTTTTTGGTTGCATTCATGATGCTATTGACTTCGACATATCACAGCTTCACCGTCTACATCCACAGGCATGTTCTTGCATACGTACGAACGTATGGAAGTAGTAGAGTAGAGGTTTTTTTTTAAAGGGTCATTGTTTGCCTTACCGGATTTTTCCATACGTATTATTGTCACTTAACGTCTGCAAAAAGCTTTTGAGTGACTCTGGCCTAATCGAGATACACAATACATAATACCTGATACCTACAACGGCGTCGCATGCACACTATTATATCTCTGCAATGCCTGTTAATGTCTCATCTTGTTTAATGCTTAATTAAATACATCAAGGGTTTATATCATAAGCATAAGTTGTCAAGCTGTTGAGCGCAATATATGTTTATATGTACGCAATAAAATAACGACATACGCGGTCATCTAAACTTTTATCTGTATATAGTACGATAACATCAAAATAAAAACTCATAATTTTGTCGATTGTAATTGCGCTCGTGACTTTTTATTATTGGAAGCATTTACAGTGCGGAAAGCGTTAATTATGCACTAGAGAAAGATAAGGTAACTTTAAGTCCACGTATAATATTCGCAATCTTATCATGTATTTATCCCCTTAATTGTTCTTATATTATAGCAGACCAGATGAAGACGCTGCCCTATTCTAAAATATATTATATTCGTAGCAATTTAAAGCTAGTTACTTTCTTGGATGTGGAAAATAATATCGCGCGCTTTAAAACCAAGGTAAAGAAGAAATAAAGTGTTTCCTGTATTTTCGCTAAAGTGTAGCTTCTGTTTGCAGTTAATGTACAAATTTCTGTCTTGGTAAGAGTTTTTCAATAGATATCCTTTGAATTAGGGAAGTGCCAGCCATGTCCTAATTTGAAAGGGGATTTTATAGTACTCAAAATTGCATAAAGTCGAATAAACAGCAGCGCGTTTCGAAGTTCTGAGCAGCAAGATCGAGGTGGGAATAAGCAATGGTAACAATTGTGGAATGCACATAGAATACATTGACGCCAGAATCAGAAAGTGATCGACAACTTTTGCCATCACACATGAAGCAGCAACACCTTGTGCACAGATAGTAAATGAAAGAGTGTTTCGTAACACGTATGAAGAGCATATCTATTTCAAGACGCATTCAAATATACTTCTTCGAAAGATATCAGATAACCGTTTAACCTGATTCACAACACGACATAAGTTGGTGCACATTCACATGATTATAAACGAAGGTTCTGCAGGGCATCTGAGAAAATTAATATGTAAATATGGAAATTACTCGATGTTCGGTAGTGAAAAAGTAACTGATTCAAATACAATATCAAACGTCCTAAAAAATTATAGCGATAAACAGTGTAAACGTATAATTATAGCCCACGTCATTAGCTATTCCGGCTAACACCATTTGAAATCATTCAACCAATATGTTGATCAAGATATGTATCGAAGTAGGTATGAGGAAAACTATTTCAATTGCCTTAAAAATCTGGTCAAATCTTTTACACCACGAAATAGAAGTAAATGACGACCATATAGGATTTGGTGGTGAGGAGAGCAGCAAAGCAGTACATTGGATAACATCCAGGCGTTGTAAATCTTTACGTAATATCTCATCGTTCTTTCATTAGAAGTTCTCATTATTTAAGCAGTGTGCTTAATTTTTCCCACGTTAAATCAAGCCAGTTCGTCCTTCTAGAAGCGAAAATTATAATATATTGGTTGGATTTCGCGATTTCGTGCAGATCGTAAAAGCTTCACCCAAACCTTCCGAATTTAATTTTGCTTTAGCTCTCGTAAAATATTACTTTCTCAGATCTTAACAGAAAGAACTAATATTAAAAAAAACATTCAAAAAATGTTGAGGATATTTACACATATGTATACACGATGTGTTTCATTTCTTAGACATCAATTAACTTGTTTCTAATCTATAATCGAAAAACATCAAAAAATTGTACATACTGTAAATGTTTTGAATAAATAGTTAATCACAACATCTCGATATGTCAAAGTCAAGTTGTTCAAATGCGCATTAAGGCCCACATGAATGTAGTTTTTTCTTTTATATTGGTATCTGGAGGCAGGCGTCAAACTTTAGTCAGCATATAGAAAATCAATTGACAAATGAAAAATATTAGTTTCTCAGTAGTAAAGACGACATTTATTTTTTCTCTTAACTTGCATTGTAATTACAAATAACTTTAATTTAGTTTTAAATTTAAAAAAAAAAATAAATTTCCGTTAAAAAACGATTGCACAGATATATGCATAAATGTACAGATATTTAAAAATGTGTATGTATATCATGTGAATGATGTATGCATAAATGCATAGATACTTAAAAATGTTTACTTACACAACCCACACTATAAGCCATAAGCTATAGACCATACAATACAGCAGTGCAAGAAATGAAAAAAAAAAATAAAGCTAATATTGCATACAATGTAGTTAAATGTAGTAAATTTTCATAACACATCTGATTATGTATGTGTTTGTAGTACATATTTGTATTTAGTAACCACCACGAAATGTCCATGGATTCGTTCATGCGCAAGGTTTTTTATGACATGATCTCGATTCCGATTACAATTGTGGCTGCGCTAGCGTATGCTGCTGTTGTCAGCAGTACGACTAATGCTGCAGTTGACGTCAAAAACACAGCAAATGAACTACACAAGTTTTATGGGTATACACTTAAATGCACATAAAATACATACATTTATTAAATTTATATTTTAAGCATAACTAATATGTTTTTAAAACATATTATGGCTGCTGTATATATTTTAGTAGTCGTCGTTATATCTCTATATATATATATCTATGTATATGCGATTGTGTGTGTTTCTAATGTATATGCGCGCCTATGTGTTAGTAGTAAAGTAGTGCCACCATTCAGGTGCATTGATCTTAAAATGGCGCAAAAAGCCATTGAACTACGTGTATTAGAGTACTATTGCTTCTATTTGTTGTCATTGTTGTTATTACTATTATTATGACGACTATTTTCTATGTACATTTGCTAGTATGCAAATTCATAAAATTATTTGAATTTTATTGTACAATATTTGTCACACAGTTGACGTTAAGACTTTTTCTACCATTTGCCGGTTGTAAAATAAAATAAACACTTGAGTATACACATATTCATGCATATATATAAGAACATATTACACATGTACATGACTGAGCATGTGTTCGTGTAAACATACAAATTTTATAATTTATGCTAATTTTCTCGCATAATGTAAAAAGTATAGTACTAAGAAGAAAGAGAATTTATCCCAATTACCAGCGATCGATGTACTTTTTATTTTTTTCGTTATCTAGATTTGGCACTTTCATATCAATTCTGTTCAAAGGCTTCCACTTTTAGATACGGCGCTCTATGTTCACATCTTTTTATTAATAGCCTTAGCTTGTTTTCGTCCAAAATTATTGTTCACATTTGGTTTGTTTTTTTTTTTTTTCATTTTTTTATTCGAAAATATTCTTTATATTTCACATGTTGAATAAGTGAAATGATTTTGCTTGCAAAACGAATATAGAGGGAACTTGTTAAGGTTTATCATGTATAAGAATAGAGGAGCAAGGCGGGAGTTCACATAATTTGTATATTATCCCATTATAAATGCTTCGACAGCCAAACTATTTAAAGCCTTGTGAGCAATTTGAATCGTTCATTAAAACACAGTAAACGGTAGAGAGAATGTTGCTAAAAATGCTTTATAAAAAGAACGCTAGCACAATGATCTCCATATATATTTTTCTCTGGTATAAGTTTAAGATCGAAGAGTTTAATAACTTAAGCGGAACGACAATTCAACCCAGTTTATGATAAATGAATTGGACAGATGAAGGCGGTGGGTGTGATCACAAGACCAAACGATAGAAATGAACAAAATATCATGAAGTGTTTGTAGGAACTAGTTTGTTAAATTTTTCTTGCGGAAATTCAAATAGTAAGATAGTTTTCGCTTTTATTACCTTCGATAATCGGTCTCCATACTGATAAATTAATTATTAAGAAAGATTTACGGGAACTTGAAATAAGAAACAAACTCGATGTTTGTGGCAGATCTTATTTTTTTTTCCTTCAAATATTATCGAGCAGAATGATTTGTAGAACAGACGACTATCGATGATGAAATGTCGTGACAAGAGAGAAGAATAGAAATAAGTTATATTCGATCAATGATAGCACTAGTAATAAACAACCTAATCTTAATCCCTACGCAAAAACAAATAAGTTTGATTCGACCAATTATTGCTTAGAAATGACTAAATTCAAATGAAGGATAGCGCAAAAGCGACTCAAACGCACCAGGGCAAGGTTTCGTTAACTATCAAGTAATATTTTTCGTACTTTGTATTAGTTTAACGCGATCACGACATTGTCATCTTTGCACCTGAAGATGTCCTTTATTCCTGAACTTTTATAATATATTAGATTGAAAAAGTTCCTTCGACGCACTCAACACTGGGCATGCTTCCCTTATCAGCATCTTTTTCACCTTCTGCAACTAAATCTAAATACAAATACATGATAACAAGTCGTAACAACTGCGAACAAAACCAAAAGAAAAAAATCGAAAACGAAATTTATACACATACGTTTAGTATGCAGATTTGTATACAGTGCATATATAGAAGAACACATATATATATATCTACAACGTTTATATTATAAATGCAAATTTGCATACATAACATTTACCTAAAACAAAAACGAAAAAAGTGAAAAACTATAAATGAATTTTTATTTTTTAGTAGATTGCTTCGTTTACTTAGACGATTCATTTAAGTAAGATCGGTTGACTACTCTACTGAGCTTTAGATCGCTGCTTAGCGGGCAGGCGGACTAGTTGGCTGGCTAGCTACTGGATTGAATAGATGGATAGTTGTTTCCACCATTTGTCTTTTTGCGCCTTTGTTTTAAGTTTTTTTTTCATTTATTTATTTATTTTTTCTTTTTTTTTTGCAACTATTTTCTTAATGCATAGCAGCCGTTTTTTGTGTGTATAGATTTTCTGATTTCAGTTTTGTTGGGTTTAATGAACGCTCGCAGTGACTATGAAAGATGTCAAGGTATCTATAAGTGTTTGGTTTTATATAGTGTCGTTGTTGTTCTTCATAATGCCTTTGTATTTAAGCATCTATCTATCTATCTATCTGTCTATCTATACCTAAATAGATACGTACACACACACACACACGTATGTGGGGACCTGTACGTGTGTGCGTTTCGCTTATGTGCATTAATCGCAATATATATATGCTCTAAATTTGTACGATATTTATGATGCTACGCTCATAAATCGACACATATATATATACATACTGTACATATATATACTGACCATAATGTGAATATTGTTCGATTGCAATCAGAAATGAAAAAAAGAGCAACAAGTACGCGATAATTGAAAAAACTCAGGTAATTCTCAGGGATTGATCCCACGAAGTATACTTAAGTGTTGCATTCGATTGTCATTTTCGTGTTTTTTTTTTGCCTTGAGAAAGATTGCTAGAGCGATTCATGCATTTGCAAACGCATTCTTTTCATCTTTCATATATTTAAGACACTACAGCCGTCTCAGAGTTTTTCTTTTTCTCAAATTTCCTAAAAGGGAAAGGATTTACGCTTCTAAATCAAACTAAAGCTTACCAGTCAATGCTGACAATCGTACAATAGCAAAGGCGTAAACAAGCCCTTTTCTACGAAGAGGATACGGTGACACGTGACATTAATTAAATCGAAAAAAGAAGCCGAAAAAATATTGATTGTATTTCAAGAATTATTTGTGGTTTTCTAAAGTATGCTTTTATTCAATCTTTTTTAGCTGGTTACAGTTTGACAAAACCAAATGGTATTTTAATTTCATCAATCCATTTGATACACTTATAAGAAAAAACTATCGTCTTCGCGACTAGGCTAGATATTCCAACGGCAGGGTGTATAGGGCCGTGATTTACATCTTTGCGTATAAAAAAGTAGAGAAGCATTAAAAAGTTTAAACGAATACAACGCAATACCAGACAGTAGTTAACTTTATACGAACCGCTGTTATATATGTATGTAGTAGCGTAGAGAAGCTTTCGAATACGATGATAGTGCGTTTCATATATTTTCAAAAAAGTGCCTGAAAAATGTTTATTCAAAGCCATACATAATATTTCCAAAAGAAAGAAATCATTCCTTTGATAGTACAGCAGCTTTGCCTCTGAGATAATTATTTACCTTGCGTTTTGGAAATAAGAATCGAAAAATAATTTAACTCATATTTTGTATTTTTTGCGAAAATACTTTGCTTGTGAAGCTGCTGAAAAAAATCAGCACAAGCCTTGGAGGAGTGATCTGCTTAAAATATTCGCCTA